GACCATCGGATTTGACCACGTATTCTCAGTTGAAGCGTGTCCTCCGGTAGGGGGAGGACATTGCTCCTTGATGCGTTGGCTTGTTGTTAATCTGCAGCAAAAGGCTTATCTTTCTTTTGTGCTTTCTTTTATTCCTGAGTTCACAACCCCTCAGTAACTGGATACTCGTCAGTTATATATATATATATATATATATATATATATATATATATATATATATATATATATATAGGTTGCATTCTTGATGCTTCTTCACCGCAGTTGGGCTAAACCAACTTACACTTAAACTAGGTCTTTTTAAGCTGGATAAATTTCATTCCGCTTTATTTGGTTTGTTCTGCCTCCCTGAATAATGTTCTATTAACTGGCCACGTTGCTTACACCAATTGCGCTTATCTTCTGTAATTTTGTTGCGTTTGTAGCATTTTAAGTAACTTGTGGACATTTCTTACTTATCACGGATTTGTTGCTGACCAACTTACTTCATATGTTAATTTAGCGAAGAGTTATGCCACCGTATCTGTATGCATTATTGGATTTATTTTATTTCAGCTTGTCGTTTACATTGAATGGCTGTTGTTTGCTATCCCTGGTATGGTTGCGCTTGATGTGTATGTTGACAAGGTGCCTACCTGTCTATTACCCACTACATCGTTCATACTGGCTCTAGGAGACAGTTGGTCGTTGCTGGAGGGGACGGGGTGCACGGTTCTTGTGGCCGTGCTAGCCTCGAAGAGTAGTTCCATGCACTCAATGTGGAGCGGACTACGGTCCAGCCACTGCCTTGTGTGCGCTTGATTCCCCAAATGCAGCGTGTTTGTGTTTGCCTGTGAAGGAGTGTGGGCCGGCTCCGTTGATGAAACGTGGCTCCCATCCACATGCCTCCCGGTCTTGTTCCTTCGGGTTTACACTGGATATGGGGTGTGTGGATGGAGCTGTGGGTGGTGCAGCGCAAGCCTTTGATGGTCCCTCTGTAGGCACAGGCGTCCTGTGGCTGGCCACACTGACAGGCAAATTCGAAACCAGATGCCGCCAACCATGTATGTATGTGTGCCCCATGCTGAGACTGATGTAGCATTCATGATGCTTCTTCACTACAGTTGGGCTAAATCAACTTACACTTAAACTAGATCTTTTAATGTGGATAAATGTGGATATGCATAGCAAGAGCAGTAGTAAGCAGTATGGTCCATGATTCGTCAGTGGGTGTGATACTACCCGGTTGCCCAGGCCGAAGTAGAGTGTTGTCTTAGGGGGCCCTCCCCCGACCTTTTGATCAAAGATCTAACCTACAAGGCAGCAGGGCGATGTGAGGGCGTCGCAACCCGTTGGGAGCCGGTGACCAAATAGATGGTTCATGCGCCTTTCCGTCCGTGAAGGACCAGGGACCCAACGCACCCTTGAAGTACAATGCCTCTCAGGGAGCGGCAAGGGGCAGTGACTTTATTTAGTGGCGAGTCACATCCGCCACGTCTCAACGTTGTTAAACATATATTTGTGGCTTTTTATAGGGAGAACGCTTGTCAGGCGAAAACGCACCACATCCTGGAACACTGCTGGATCAGGGAAAACCCGAACCATCCAGCTGGCACCACGAGGAGGTTGTTCTGCAAACCAGTCACAGTCATTAAACAGGACACAACACTGATAAGTAATTAGCTTCATTTGGTATCGTGCTTCCGGAAATAATGGAAGGGTGGCTGGACTCAAACTGGGCCAGTGTGCGTAATCATGCGTATAACTGTTTACAATAAAACATATTAGACTACCAGTTGTATCGGTACCTCTGGCTGTCCTCGACTGCAGCATTCGTTGCACAAAATTCCTGATTGGAGGGGGAATCTGCAAAACAAGCGGCGCTCCGCTAAGCAGAACAAAGACTGTACAGCGACACGAAAATCTTTGTTTCTGAAGCATGTTTTATTTTATACAACTTATTACTAATTTCTGTGTCGCGTCTTCACTGGCTTCCGCGCTGGCTATGCGTTTGTATTCAGTGGTCCGCGTTCCTCGATTCCGGGTCGTTCATACAACCACAGCCCGTTCGCGACAGCGATGTTGATTGGCTCTGCGGACCGTCTCTGTGTTCGCGTATCAATTTTCCTATGCCTTTCGGCAAACAATCTAATACCTGTGACCTTGATACTGGTGCTCTCATTCTGACTCCCGGCGATGTTAACTCGCTTAGTTTCTGACATGTTCCTTCGCCTGCCCAAACAGCGGCCCTCTGCTTATGGACGGTTTGTGCTTGTGATTGCTTGTCTAGGGTATTACCCGCCGCACGAAGTGCCGCATCTTCCGTTTGCTTGTTCTTCGCACAGACGGCCTGTGCTGGTGACTAGGGATTAAGAGTATCGAATTCCATCACAATCTGCATCTCTGATTGGCTGCATAATGTGTCGGCCCTCCTCAGAAGAAATCCTGCCGGTGCTGTTGATTGGCCGCTTAGCGTATCAAGTTTTGTGACATCCCTCGTTTTTTCGTTCTTTTTGCACTTCAATTTTTGTAAACTCCATACTTCTTCCACTGCTTGTGATCTTGCAGTCTTGGGCTGCGGTGTCCTCCGGAAAGTTCTGCAGTGGTCGCTGCTTTACACGATGTCGCGTGTGTTCACCCCATTGCCTTCTCAGCTGCACTCGGTTGCGCCGAATTACTATTCCCGTATTTTACTTCGTAGCTTCACTTACGACCTTCGATTCGTCCCCTTCTCCAACGCTCGTCTGTTCCCGGATTCGGTTCAACCCATACTTCGTCCCCAAACATCTATGGCTTCAGGAAGAGGCTTTCCTCCCTCTGAAAGGCCGTGTATACAAGGGCCGTCTTACTTTTTGGGATTGAGACTTGACTCCTTCGATCTGTGGACCTGCGGCGCGTTCAAATCCTTGATCCTCGTTGTCTGCGAAGCTTTGCTGGTGTCGGATGACAGCAGCATGTCCGCAACGATGATGTGCGTAAGCTAGTGCTAGCCAGTGATAATCATGCTAGTTTCTTAGAACAACAGATAGCAGTGAATAAATTATGTTGGCTTGAGTACGTACAACGTATGCCTGGTAATCGCTTACTAAAGATGACCTTGTTTTGTTTGCCAGATGTAGGGTGGTGCAAGCCCCGAGGTGGGCAAAAGTTGTCTTGGTAGTAGAAAATGAAGCCACTGACGACGGAACTCGGTGTCATCAGTCCGTCTCGCTTTCCAGATTGGAGTCCACATGATCCGCCCTGTGCGCTTGGCTTACGACGTTAGAAGGCATGACTCGTAGTCGGCACCAGTGGCGTGTTGGATGTCGTCTCCTAGTCGGACTGTCTGTTTAAGGTGGGTTTGGTGCTGAGTTATTTGTGGGGTAATGGCTGATTATGATGTGGGGCAGTGAAATGCGCACTGAAACTATCTCGCCGATGCTGCCTGATTTTTGCACGACAGCCAGCTGTTTGTGAGGGTATGTTGTTGACAAGGTGTAGGTGCCTTAATCTTGGATGTTTGTTTGGGGCGATAAGGTTTACGTAAGGTCCCCTTCTCTCTGTCTTATTATTCTTTGTTCCGTCGGTCACGTGGTTGTAGAGTTGCAGCAGTTGGTCAATAAAGCTATACTGTGTTTGGTAGAGTCATGATAGCCTGCACTGATCCAATAATAGAGCAGCTGAATAGATTGGCCCACACAAAATACGCGAAGGCCCATAAAGTAACAGGGGACAATTGGATCAGTCTATCTACTACATCATTTACGGTCTTACTGATCGAATTGGCCAAACTTTTATTCATTGGGAATCGCGGTCCACGTTGAGACTGCGCATCATAATCCATTCACAAAACGAATGCTTCACAACGACCCTCCGTTGCTTGGTAACGCTTGTTTAAGTCATGCTACACTACGCGATTAGGGTCTGACTTTCCCTAGTCACGTAGCAGCACAAGTTCGTGTGTATACTCAGAAGCACATAATCTACGAAACCGATGGGAAACTATGGGAATACTCAGTCACTGCCTTTGATCGAGACGACCGAGGTTCACAATCAAGAGAACAGTTTGCATTGGCACCAGTTAGTTACGCGATTCGATTGCATTAGCATGACTACAATGTAGTCTGAACATCGTCTAGCCGCCTTACTCCTCATTTCTTGCAGGCGAATTACTGATTTCTGCTTAAAATCCAATGTATCCAAAGTAGTTTGCAAAATGTCCATTTGAATTTGCAAAACGTCCAAAGTGTATTGCAACCTCATGCTGAGGTTAATGTTGCATTCTTGGTGCTTCTTCTCCGCAGTTGGGCTAAACCAACTTACACTTAAAATTGGTCTTTTTAATCTGGATAAAAGTCATTCCACTTTATTTGGTTTGTTCAGTTCTGTTATTCTGCTGCATATTCTGTCAATTTTGCCTGTTTGCTTTCCATTAAATTCTGTTGGTTGTTTGAATTCTACGGTGTAGTTGCGCTTGATGTACATGTTGACCAGGTGCCTACCTGTTTAGCACCCTCCACCTCGATTAGTGACTCCAGGAGACCGTGAATTGTTGCTGGGTGGATGGGGTGCACAGTCCTCGTGGCTGTGCTAAGCTCAATGCGTCGTTCCATCCCGTATGGAGCGGACTACGGCCCAGCCATCGCCTTTTGTATGTCTGATACGCATGCTTCTCTGCATAGATAGGAATGCTGCTGCTGTGAATATTGAAGGAGTGTGGGTCGGCTCTGTCGATGAAACGTGGCTCCCATCCACATGCCTCCCAGTCTTATTCCTTCGGGTTTACACTGGATATGGGGTGTGTGGTTGGAGCTGTGAGTGGTGCAGCACAAACCACCCACGGTCCCTTTGTAGGCGCAGGCGTCCTTTGGCTGTCCCCATTTAGGCCATGATGACAGGCAGATCTGGATACAGATGCGGCCAAATCATATATAAGTAGTAGGGGGATTTATTAGATTTTTGTATAGATTCGTCACAATTAGACACAGGCAGACAGCCACCACACATCCAGAAAAGCGCACTCATTTTTCCTTGATCTTTTATAGATGATTCAGAACATGTTCATTGCGCACCCTGCAGTGTGGATGAAGTCATATATTCTCGTTTGGACCCCGACTCAGACGCTCGGCCATTATCCTTCTGTGCCCCAACCGGAAGTGCAGGTTTCAGCCTATATAGCCTTTTGGGTGGCGTGGCTGGGGGCGTAGTCATTATTCTCTTCATATGTTGGCTCATTCGCATGTTAATCAAAACGTTTCCCTATTCAAATCGATTAAGCGAACGAGCTCGTGATAATTATTCTTACCAACGACGAGCTCGTGGACCTTACGGTGATCGGCGCCGAGATCCCTCCGAGACTGTGAGCAACGGTCGTACTGCGGTTTCAGTGATCCCTGACAGTCAGGTGTCCCGCATTCTCGAGTTCTCAACTTCGCGGTGAGTTGTCTAATAATTTCTTCTCCGATTCCTATGATTTTTCCGACCAAATCGTCTAGTCCCTCACGAACCCTCGGTTTTATTCCTCATTCTGCCATGTGTAGTGTGACAGTAAGCATTAGCCATAATTTCAAGCTAACCACTCGTATAGCGACAGGTCGCTTAATGGCCGAAACAAAATCTTGTGGGTGTTCATAAGTCTGTGAGTAATGGTTAAAAAGTTCATTGTAACAGTCCAGCGAATACGTTACTGTCGCGTAGTAGCTGATTCTTAACCTAAGTAGCATAAATCGAAACATTATATGTAAGCAATAGCTGAGGTACGCTCTATCTCGTATGTTGTACAACACATCGATCAGATATTTTATATTAGATCAGTCAACCGCATGCTGTCGTTACCCTTCAATATCTCAAGTTGCGTGAGACAAGAATGCCCGCTGTCACCTTTCCTCTTCAATCTCGCTATCGAGGAAGTTATGAAGATCGCGTTCACAGGACAGGACTTCGAAATTGTGGAGCTGCTACCAGGCGAACGATTTTATGACTTAGAATATGCTGACGATATTGTCTTCATCTGTGACAGCTCATAAACGTGCCAAGCTGCACTGGACAGGTTAACACTGGCTGTGAATTGTTTCGGGCTATGCTTTGCACCCTCAAAGTGCAAAGCCTTCCTCCAAAATTGGCATGGACCGCCTCCTGCGCTCAGGCTTGGTGGGATCAGCTAGAAGTCAAAAATTTAACTGCTCGGGATTTTATTAGCGCTCATGGTATCGAACCGTATGGCAAAGCTGGGGGCTTTTTCTAACCTTCAGCACCTATGGCGTAGGTGCGACATCAGTATCACCCTGAAGGGTAGAGTGTACGATGCAGCCATCCGATAAACTCTCATTTGTGGTCGTGAAACCTGGCCCATTAGATCGGCAGACATAGATAGGCTAGTTACATTCGACCACCGGTGCATTCGCAATTCAGCTCACATCTTGTGGGAACACTGAGTAAGCAACGAGCGTGTTCGACGCCTTGTTTATTGCACATAAAGTGGAAATGAACCGCTCAACAACGTTATTTCACGCACCAGGCTCCGATGGCTCGGCCACATGTTGTGCATGCCTGGCCATGGACTCCCGCGACGTGCGTTGTTTCTTGCTAGAGGGGTGGATGAAAGAAGGGGAGGGGTGGTCAGTCGATGACTTGATCGAATGGAATGGAGGCCCTTACTTCAACCTTGGCCTCGGTTGGAGCCACTCGGCTTCCTAGTTGGGGTCTGAAAGACGATGAACACGTTCGACTGGATACACTTACTGACATGGCTAAGAGCCGACCTAATTGGCGTTTGGGTTGTGGACTTATTTATCCATTCCCATCCCTCTTAGCCTCCCCCTTCAACCGCGCTCTCATTTTTTAGCATAATACAAATTTTGCATACTACTTTTTTGATGCATAGTAGCCTGCTGGGAGCTTTCCAGGACGATGTCCATCCGTTACTGATAGCTCAGCAGGCGTGCACCTGATGCATGCATTTTCTTCTGTTATCTATTGCGGCGCAGTAGCTGTGTTTTCCACCTCTAGCTAACCTGTATACTGAATGCATGAATGACTTGACTATTGGGGTTAATAAGCACCGTCTGAAGACAAGGTGTATTTTCATCGCTTCCGTTTATGCTCCCACTGACAGCAGTTTGGAGGGTATGAATGACACTTTCTATCTTGAACTCCCATCTTTTCTCCACTAACATTGTGATCGTTACTGATGATATGAATGCCCAAGTGGGTCACCTTCTAGACTGAGCAACACATGGGAAGCCACTTCGGGTTTGATGCACCTCGAACAATGATGGCCATCCACTCTTGTAATTATGCGCCGACTAAAATGTTGATACTAACAGCACTGCTTCGCCGTACAATGATCTATCTACCTTGTGTCACTTGGCGCCCATCAAATTTCTCGATGAGCTGGACCCACATTGACCATTTTGCCATCCCCTAAAATAACGTACCGAGACTCGATCCATTTGGAGCAAGTGTCCGTATTTCTACCAAACTCCAGTGCGCGCATGCATGGCACTCACACTTCCCGCTTTGAAGAAGCACCTAGCTTCCAAGCTTATCACTCGTAACTTGAACTCGCAGTCCACAGTTCAAATAAATCATGACGAAATGGCTCCAATTGTCACTAGTAAATGAGGTTGGTGAGCGGAACTCTGACTAAGATCGTCTCAAGTGTCCCATGAAGAGTACTTTCGAAGCCTTTTGTGCACCAAACTTTAGACGTCCTAAAGATGTATGAATCCATGGACCATAGATCCGTTTGCTCAAAAAACGCAGATCGTATCCGTTGGTTTCATTTTCTCCCTAACGCCCCTAAACGTCGACTGAGATGGTTTCTACGAATTGACCGCAAATGTTGATGCAAGGCAAAGGTCCGTGAGATGGAGAAAGCCAATGCTATTGGAAACATCTGATTGCATTTTAGCATCCAGAACACGGGTCCAAGAAACTTTTCAGTTAGTGAAGCAATAGCTGAGAAGGGTGGGCAGTTGATCTATTCCCGGCTGCGTCGATTAGCCTGTTGGGCGGAACAGTTTGAAGATCACTTCAGTAGACGTTGCTGTGACACTGCCTCTTGCTGAATCACATTAGCATACATGCGAAGTTGATGTCACGCCTTCCACTTTGGAAGAGATTCAACATAAGCTTATGGTGTTGCAAGGAAACAAGGCTCTTGGATATGACGATCATCCTGTAATTTTGCTGAAAGCTGGAGGGGACTCTTGGTTAACTGGAATTGCTGCTCTATTCAACACTAGTTTGGACACTGAAGAGGTGCCTTCTGACTGGCGACTGTCAACACTGGTGCCCATATTGCAAATAGTGTAAAAGGACTTTTTAGAAAATCATCGAGGCATAAGTCTTATTTCCATTACCTCACGGATATTGTTCTTCGAGGACCCGCTGGCCCCATGAGAACCAAAGCATTACAAGCCCCTGGACTTTGCTCTGGTTGAGGTTGCAACGACCACTGCTTGCATCATTTTCTGGCAACGAGCTGAATTCACAGTGGATGCGCAGCAAAAATGTCTTATTTCCTGCCAGTATTGACAGTTGCGTACTTTCCCATCACTCTTATTGCTTTGGAATATTGGTAGCTCGGAAGGCTTGTACAGTTGTTATGATGTTCGTCAAGCGGGGCAATTTGATTGCAAACGTTTCGCTACCATTCGAGTTGGCCTCTTCAGTGCAGGTTTGATAGCAGTCAGGCAGCAGGAGCTGGCAGAAGGCAAATCTAATGATCCATCACTGGGTAGTGAAGAACGCTGATCCCTAGATCGAGAATAGCACATGAGTTTACAAAACCTCCGTGAAACCTGGTGGTGGGAACATTGTAGAGAGATGAAACTCACTAGTCTCTCTAGTACTACCAGAAAACTTTTCCATCTTCTCCGAGCCAAGCAATAAGAAGTATACACACTAGTGACCACATGAATGCCACCTTCCTTCTCACTTAGGATGGCACTACTCCAAGTAACCTGGTATTCAAGAATAGGTCGACGAAGCCGAGCTCTGGGTCAATATTGTTATGCTTCCGGTTGACCGGAGGTTTGCTTGTTCTGTACCTCCGCAAAGTCAGTAGGTAAACTTGAGTTGAAACAGAGACGGCGGATCTGACCCCTGTGCAGAACAATTACTCCGCTATCGGGTAGAGCCACCTCCGTAAGTTGTCCCACTACTTCGCTCAGCCCGTAGCCTGAAAGTAACGAGGTTGTCTTGCAATCTGACGGCGCGTGTTCGAGCCTGCGTAAGAGCAGGGCGACCGGTGGTGGTTGTGTGGCAGCGAAGTGTCGCTACTGCGTACCGGCTTACTGCTGATGCCTGCCTTCACGCAGCTCTCCAGACTGCCGGGTGTTTTCGTTAGGCAATTTGACGATCGGTTTACTATCTCTCAACTTTCTTAACCTTGGCATATAGCTTCTGGTCGGGAAACAGGGGGCTAGGCCGTGTCTTCAAGCATCGTCTGAACATCAGCTTTCCGGGCTCTTCCAACTAGCTAAATTTGGTTTGAAACGATAGCGAACAATGAAGCTGCCCAACTTTGTCCTTAGCGAAATCTGCGTTTGTTTCCGTAACCCGTACTTGACCGTTCGGACTGCGCTTTGAGACAATCCGTTTGGAGCTAGATAGAAACTTTTGCACTTATTGACTGGGGGCTACTGAATCGTTGTGTTACCAACGTGTATGGTATTCCGAAAGTAGTAAAAACCCTTCCCATGCAGAAAACAGCTTTCTCGCCGTTGGCATGTGTTGTCGGGAAAACAACCTATTTCGAGGGAGCATCATTTAGCGGGCAAAGCACCTTTTACTTAGCTGGCCAAGGAAGTCCACGAGAGTACTCTCTCATGATTTAACTGGACCATTTCCATGCATGGACTGAGTGATATTAGGGGAGAAGGTATTCTTCTGTGTGCTTTGATACGCGTCGCTGTGTTGAATAAACTCTTCAGCTGTCGACACGGCTGCCAAACAAAAGATCTCGCGAGTCCCTTTATCTTCGTGACTCCTTTGTGTTTTTGGCATATCTGTCGTAAGCTGTGCTGTCGGAACCGCGATGGTTTGCTCGCTCTGGATCCCCACAATAGACAGCCATCCTCGAGACAAGGATTGATGCGTCGGGCAAAGTACGATGGGACTTACGTTTCATATCCGTCGGGCCATCCTTGGAATACCAGCTGTACAGTATTTGCCTGTAATATGTACCGTGCGCCTTAATGGCGGACATCTGCCTTTAACGCCGTGTTTCCACTTAATTGTTGCAACAAGTGGATAAGTTCGCAGGTTTTCATAAGTGATCTGGTAGGCGATTCAGCGACAAGTGACCCAGTGTCCGCGATTCTATTTACTCTCCCAAGACATAGAACACCTAGTACTTGTAAGTAGGGGGCACTAAAGTCCACTTTTGCATACTAGAGGACGCCATCTGGTTGCTACCTTCTCACCATTCA